TGTGTGTATTTGGCCGACATATACAGTATATGTTAGAGTCTCACTGTTTATTACTACAATCATGTATCTATAATTTACTCGTGTTTTAATGGTGAATTTTTTTTTCTTTATATTATCCAAAAAGGATAAATATGAAACACTAGTATGGGAGGACAGCTTGTTTTGGCAGGTTATCAATCTCGAATCCCATAAAGAGGATTTTCTGCCTGAAAGTCTTTAAGTGTAATTCCACATTTTTGTGAAAGTAAGAAAATGAAAATTATTTTTCGTGGCCCATATCTGCACACAACAACAAACACTTCTATGGCACGTTTGTCACGACTACTTTCACCAAACCCCAAACTTGAAGATGAACAGCCGGTCGTTTTTCTTCTCATTTTCCTTCTTTGTTGTCTTAGCAGGGGCAGCAGCTGGTGCTGCTGCTGCTCCTTTGCCTGCTGCAGATAACCTGTTGCACCGTAATGCCATAGGTTTGCTCAGAAAGAGCTTTCCAGAGGGTTTTGTGTTCGGAACGGCAACATCGGCATATCAGGTGGAAGGAATGGCAGATAAAGATGGTAGAGGACCTAGCATATGGGATGTTTTTGTCAAAATTCCAGGTTGATTTTGTGTTTTGTATTTTTGTTTTCTTGGACGATCATTTTCATTTTGTACTTCTGTCTTTTATGTATTTTTGTTTAATCTTTTGAGCATTTAGGATTTTAAAGCTGATATATATTCTAATGTGTGTTGCTGCAACAGGTAAAATTGCTAACAATGCTACTGCTGAAGTTGCTGTGGATCAGTATCATCGGTATAAGGTACTCATGGAGATTACACTGCTGCAATTATTTTTTGTATCTTTTCATTTTTCCGTTGAAAATATATTTTGGCCACTTTTGGCCACTTTTGGGCAAGAATTTTCCTGCTTGAAATTGGAATTTTGGCCACTTTTGTTAGGATATTTCCCAATGTCAAATTGTAATCACTACTAATTAATCTCACTTCTTGCAGGAGGATATTGATCTAATGCATGAGTTGAACTTTGATGCTTATAGATTTTCAATTTCGTGGTCAAGAATTTTCCCAAGTGTGTGAATTAATTATCCTCTATTTTATTTTATTGTAGATATTTCAAGAAATTTGACATTCATTGTTCATTTAATTTGTTTCAAATGTTTGTAGATGGAACTGGGAAAGTGAATCAGAAAGGAGTGGATTATTACAATAGGTTGATTGACTCGTTGCTCGAGAAAGGTTTTTTTTTTTTTTTTTTCCTTTAAATTTATATCTAACTCTTTTAACAGTCCTATAGGTTGATATGATTAAACTTGTAATCTCTAATATGCTTGTAGGAATTACTCCGTACGCAAATTTATATCACTATGATCTCCCCCAAGCGCTTCAGGAGAAATATGGAGGTTTACTGAGTATGAAAGTAGTGTAAGCCATCAACAACACGACATTCATGTTCTTTAGCTGCTTCCTTTTTTCAATGAAAGTTTAACAAATGATTAAAAAATGCAGCAAAGACTTTGCCAATTTTGCGGATTTTTGTTTCAAAACATTTGGGGACAGAGTTAAGAACTGGATGACTTTCAATGAACCAAGGGTGATAGCATCTCTTGGATTCGACAATGGCATTAATCCTCCTTGTAGATGTTCAAAGGAATTTGGAAACTGTACAGCTGGAAACTCTGCAACTGAGCCTTACATTGCTGCTCATCACTTGATTTTAGCTCATGCTGCAGCGGTCAAAAGATACCGTCATAAATATCATGTAATGAAATATTGAAGTTCTGCGAGTCTCACTTAAATTTTGATTTGTTGTTTTTGATATAGCTTTTTTGAAAATAATGATTATGCAGGCCAATCAAAAGGGAAGAATTGGAATACTGCTGGACTTTGCCTGGTTTGAACCTCTAACAAGATCAAGGGCTGACAACCAAGCAGCTCAAAGAGCAAGAGACTTTTCTCTTGGATGGTAAAATTCTCGAATATTACTTTAATTCCACCAATTCTGCGATGCTAGCTACTTGTATTCATATCATATCATATTTTTTTTTCTAATAGAATATAGAGATATTAAATAAAAGAGATTACAACTTGATTTCCATCCAGAGCACTATAGCCTAAGTAAAATCAAAAGCATAACCTACTGCATCAGTGATAGATTTAAATTATGTCTATGATGGATATAGACAATTAAATAAAGAGAGCCATCTGCAACTAGAGATTGCAATAGCAATTGTTGCATGGACATAAACAGGGCTATAGATGTAGAAAAGAAAATCATTGTGAGCATCATAAGGTACTGGACTTCCTCACCTATTTAGCCAGCTTTATGAGGAGAGTAAGGAATCTCGACATTGACAGTCCCTAACCCACTAGATGCTGTCCCTAAGCATTGTAGTTATCAACCTATAGGAGGGTCATGGTCTTTAGCCGATTGAGCTAAAGCCACTCCTGTATTGTCAACAAGCACCTTAGAAGGTCGCTCACCCTCAATAGATTCAGTACAAATCTTCCTTTTATTCTAAATGGTTTTTCCCATGGGTAATGTAGAGTCCACTCCTCGTCCTATTCTTTTCCTTTGCCTTTGGTTCTATTTTCAGCTTTCTCTTGCCCATTTGGTTCATATCATATCTTTATTTTGAAAATTAGCATTAAAATGACCTTAACTATGTCTCCTTTCAAATGTTAAATTGTTTTTGTTCTTTATTTTGAAGGTTCTTGCACCCACTTGTATACGGTGAGTATCCAAGAACAATGCAAGAAATCGTCGGAGAAAGGCTTCCAAAGTTCAATAAAAGGGAGATAAACATTGTTAAAGGCTCCTATGATTTTATTGGTATCAACCAATATACGACATACTACATGTATGATCCACATCAGCCTAAGCCCAATGTGACTGGTTACCAACAGGACTGGAATGTTGGCTTTGCTTGTAAGACCTTTTTCCTCCCTGATTATCTCTTTGCGTAAAATTAAGCATACATTCCGCCCATTTTTTCCATGAATTACTTAACTATTCCTGTTTTGAATTCACAGTTGAAAAGAAAGGAGTCCCTATTGGTCGCCGGGTAATATTTCCTTAGTACCCCAGACAGATGGTTTCCTATAAACTTATTCCATTCTACTGACACCCAAAAAAGAAAAAAAAAAATTGTTCCATTGATAAATTTTTATATTCAGTATTATATATGCATGTAAGTCTTATTAGTTAATACACATCAACATTCCAGGCACACTCCTTCTGGCTCTATGAAGTTCCATGGGGTATCTACAAGGCTATAACATATGTAAAAGAGCGTTACGGGAACCCTAATGTAATTCTATCAGAAAATGGTAGGCCTGCAAATTTCTTGTGTTTTGTCAATTCAAATATATGGTTGTTATATTTTACTTGTGAACTATGGCAGGAATGGATCAACCTGGAAATGTCACGCTGCAGGAAGGCTTGAATGATGGGGAGAGAATACACTACTACAGAGGATATTTAACCAAACTAAAGAAAGCCATTGATGAAGGAGCAAATGTTACTGGTTATTTTGCGTGGTCATTGCTTGACAACTTTGAATGGTTATCAGGATATACATCTAGGTTTGGCATAGTTTATGTTGATTATGAAGACAACCTCAAAAGAATCCCCAAGATGTCAGCAAATTGGTTTAAGAAACTGCTTCATAGAGAGAAGTATTAGGTTTGGCTGGTAGACGGTTTGGTTCTTGTTTGATGCATCCCATGTTGAATTTGCTATTTTATAATATATGAATAATAATTGAATAAATTTTTTTAATCAAATAAAAATTTTCAATAAAAATTTCATATATATATATAAAATTTCAATTATCATTTATATAATATAAAAAAGTATTACTT